GTGTTATCTCACTGTACAAAATTTAATATAGAAATAAAATTAATACACCATCACACTGGTACTCACTAATAAAGCAAAAACACCAAATCTGCCATCTATCCTTTTAAACCTTTTACTTCCCTTCTGTGTTTCTCTATAAAGCACCGCTTCCAGACTGGACTTGGACGAGGAATGAACTAATCCGCTTGCTAATATTATCCTCTTAATCTCCTTGATATGCAGTGGTGTTCCAGCTTCTTCTAACACTTGCTGCCATAGAAACCAAGAAGAGAATAACACAAGGTTATCCCCAGAATATCACAAAGTATGGAGGAAGGCAGTCCAGTGATTGTATCAATGAGTAATATTTTTCCTGCTTGTAGTATTAATTTAATAAGGTCCAAAATGAAAATTAGAAATTTCTATTTCTATTTCTAGGATTCTATTTCTGTCATCACTTCAGTGTTCGATGTGAATTTATTTTCGCTATTTTCGCTGAAGGGATGATTCTGTGAATATAAAATTCAGTGAATATACTTTTTTTCCTATATTTCACATTAAACTCATCAAAAATCAGTGAAATTCCATACAAAATGCCCAAAAAGCCTTTTCAGCGAAAATTAATCCCAGCGAAAATAAAGTATTCCACAGTAAGGGAAACTTTTGATGTTCGAATGAATGTTTTTACAAAACAGTAAATTATATTGTTTTCGACATTACTTGTAGATGTATAATAATAAATGTTGTTACATCATGTATTACTGTTACTAGTATATTTTTTTCAGTTTTAAAATTTAAAATTGTCAAACTACTGTTGTATTTCACAAAATAATTGAGAACTTTCTACTTTGTTCTACGCAGATAATAAATCAACAGTAATATATTTACCTGTGCAGCATCCAGCCATGTCATCCCAATTTTATCAGAAGTACCCTCATTGCCTGATGATTCCCTACAGAGCAAAAAAAAATAAAAAGCACTTGTTTTGTTTTCTATGCTGAAACATATTTATTTAATTCCTATTTCTGTTGGTCATTTGTCACCTGGATTGGAGATACTGTAAAGGGAGTAATTATTCACTGGGTTTTAATTTAGCTTATTTCGCTGACTGGAAAAATGCGCTAAATTAAAACACAGTGAATATGTAAAATTTAGCATAGAACACATTATCTAAATGACGAAACCGTGAATTTAAAACCCACTGAATATGCCTGAAATGGTAAATCAGTGAAATTTAAACCCAGTGAAAATTAGTCATTTTACAGTATACCGGTAATGTATTTAATGTCACTACTGCACACACTTGATATCCACTTCTGGAAATTTTGTTAAATTTTGAAACAGTCACTGACATTCTGTGTGGTAGGACGCCATAATTTCTGGACTTTGTGATATGTCTGAATGGATAGGTAAATCCTGTGGAAATGAACTATATCCTTGTTTGGTGTGTTGTTGAATTTGTTACTATTTGGCTACATTGGTCTTAAAGTCCATGAAAAATGTGATACACAAGCTTTTACTTTTAGATGATGGATTATGATTTTCACCTCTGAATTGTACCTTTTAACTTTTTCCTACTCTCTGACAATTACCAAATAGTTATTTAAACTGGGAATTCGTTGACTTTTGCTAATCCGCTGAAATAACAGTGTTTTCTTTCCTAACAGTGCAGAGAAGTCTGGTAAACAGAGGTTAACAACTATCATACAAGGCTTCGGCAGAAGATAGAATTTGCAATGAATTGTTAAAATATGGTGAACATCACTTATTAGATGCAATACATAAACTCTTTAATATTGTTTATAGTTCAAATAACTATCCACATTCTTGGAGCGCTGGCCTGTTGGTACCAATCCACAATTCTGGGTCGAAAAATAACCTGGCCAACTACAGGGGAATTGCCATCTCTAGCTGTCTTGGCAAGTTATTCAATAGTATTCTAAATATTAGGCTGACAACTGATTATTGTCGAACAACAGACAATCTTTTCATACTAAAAACCCTGGTAAATAAATATCTCTACAGTGGTAAGTCAGAGAGCGCCAATAAACAAAACACCCCGGTAACACAAATATTAAAAAATCAAAATAATTATATGCCTGCTTTATTGAGCTTAGAAAGGCCTTTGACAGTGTCTGGCATGATGGTCTATTCAAAAAACTAATCAAATATGGTATAACAGGGAAAATGTATAAAACTATCAAAAACATGTACAGTAAAGTAAAATATAAAGTTGAATGTAAAGAAGGCTTAACAAAACATTTCAAACAGACGTTTGAATAATGATACATTTTTTCTTGGAGGTATCGAACTTGATACAGTTAAATCTTATAACTATCTGGGACTAGTCATTAGTGCCAATGGTAGGTTTAAGGATGGCCTAAAAAACCTTAAACGTAAGGCTCAAAAAGCTCTGTTTTCAATGAAAACAAAGCTTGGCTCAATTCAAAACATAAGTATAAAAGTTTCAATTTCCCTTTTTGACAAACTCATCAGACCTATCCTCATTTATGGTTGTGATGTTTGGGGTGATGAGTTCTTCACTACCGGTAAATCACCTATTGAAGACGTTCAATTAAGTTATTGTCGGCAGGGTTCTCCCCAGGGCTTTTTAGCGCCGAGGTCCTCGGCGCTATGTGTTCCCACCTCGGCGCTTGATTTCATATTTGACATGCCAATATCAGATGTGAAAAAGCTTTGTTCGCCACGCCGGTCAGCCCCGACCGTCACTCAAAATTAGTGACCACCACGGAAATGCTTCCGACGAGGACTATTGTCTGATTGTTGGTATAATTACGTACCGACCGACACGCATCCTGCCAGTCGTGGATTATAATTTATAAACAATAGACCTAGTCGCACGATACTTAGCGGCTAGTCAAATTTGTGGAATTAGCACCTCTTTGTTTGTAAGTAAATACTTTCTGCGATAGACACAGTCTTTAGATTCAAAGCTAAAATTATTTCAAAATCAATTCCACTTCGATATAACATGGTCAAATCGGAGTTCACGATCAGTTCACGCTACTCAAGAAAAAAACAACGTGTTTATTGCGTGATTTGGTAAAATACATTTGAACTGTTATCATTGCGAATCATGTAAAAACTCTTCTTTCAAGACCTAATTTACCTTTTAAAAATTGCAAATCACCTCTTTCGAAAGCTGTCATGCAGTTTTCAATTGAAATCGATGCCAACACATCGTGCTACGACATCGCTTTACTTCCGCAATGTAATTTTTATGATCACTACCATTCGGAAAACTTCGCGTTCTACCGGCATTACATGCGGCATTTTGATTGCTTAATGAATCTGATCCATCGGGTCAAGACACATGCTAATGTTTCACAACATCATGCGGTCTGTGTTTTT